ATAAGATTTCCCACTTGTCAGCCAGAAAAGAAAGCATTTTTGAGAAGCAGACAGCTATTTGCTTTGCTTTTCATCTCACTTGTACGGAAAAGACTGCAGATAAAATTAAAATGTTTGTATTATTCCTGTCCGTGGCAATGTGGCATGAAATAAGAGTTTCTCAGGTAACTGGGCTTCATGCCATTAAGGACTTCAGAGATTAAAACCCGTATTTGGAAGTCCATCTTAGAAAATCATTGGAAGCCAATGCAGACTCTGAAATGTCAGTGTTTTATCATCAGTGCTTCATTCGGTAAAAAAGTCAGGCTGTTATATTCTGCACTACCTTAATTTTTCAAATGAGCCTAAAGTGGCGCCCATGTGGAGTGCAGACTGCCATACAGTCCCAAAGTAACAAAGGCATAAATGATCATTGTAAGGTCCCTACATCGAAGAAGAAACCGAGACAGATGGAAAAAATTTCTGCTACAGCTGCTGTTTGATCTTCCAAATGTTGATCTGGCTCTAATAAAACTAATTGTGAACCTGTATCACACACTGAACATTCACTCATAGTGGACAACCATCCCCAGGCTCGTTTTCCTGCTTTTTCTTTCTAGCAGTTGCCACTCAATACATACTTATCTAGTCTCAGTATTCATTTTTAGAAAAGAGTTATTTTTCTGTCAGCTGTGGCACCTGATGTGTTGAAAAGAAAACAGCCCTGACAACACGCTGCTGTCCATGTTTTCTCACGAAGGCTCATAAGCATTACCCTGAACAGGACCTGTTGGAACATTCCAGCTTTTCATAACTAGAACAACTGCAATGGTTCTATCTCTGATTAATTCTGTTTGCAGACATCCCTGTGAAACAGTAGAAGCAGCAGGGTCATTAGGCAGTTAACAGAGTGAAATCATCACAGACATTGATTTTAATAATGGATTTGACACAAGCCTGAACTTCAGACTATGTCTGAAACCCAGCTGGCTAAGAACTTAGAAATACGAGGAGGTCAGAGACTTCAAGATTTGAATGGTCACAGCTTTCTCCGAGTCCTGTCTAAAGCCCTAGTGATTTCATATAGGTTTATGGTTGACAGCCTAGTTTAAACTGAGCTCTGAGTGCCTGAACAGAAATAATGTGACAAGTCTATCAAGCACAGTGGCACTCAGATGCCTTCTAGGAAGCTATCAGCTTTAGTCTACACAAAGTGCCTGTTCTTCCCTTGCTGTCTTTGCCTCCCGGGGAGGACTTGGATACAGGGCAAATTCTGTCATAGTATACCATAGTCTTACAAAACTTTAAGGAATAAGGCTTGCTGAAATTCATAGAGCTAGTATTCATTTCCTTGAGTCACTGTTCTGATGTTAGTTAGGTTCCAAGTGAAGGTCTTCATAGCCTAAAGCAATGTGGAAGAATCAACCAACACAAGGCAGTTGGATCCAGTGGGTACCAGAACAGTAAAGGAGAGGTGGTTGTTGGTCATTTTATTTCTTTTCCCCTCCCTTCCACATGATCATAATCTACCAAAGAGAAATCCGATAATTTGAGTAAGCTCAAGAGATTTACCAGTAGTGTTCACTCTTTTCTGACTGTTTTATTTAGATGACCTCTTCTGAAATAGTGTTGTGCAGATAAATTCGACTGACCTTTTTTAAGCTCACCTTTTCACAGAATTATTGCACCAGTGGTGCAAGATGAAAAGAAGGACAGGAGTTCTAACCTCCTCTACAGAATCTCTTAGGACTTCTGTCTTTGAAGTGCAGCCTATGGATTTGAAATGGAGAGGACAGTGGTCCGTCTGCAGCTGAAACATTCACTTTGCACATTCAAACCCACTTGGAATATCAATTTCATAGTAAGATTGTGAAAACAGTGTCTTAGATGTTTTGCAGCAAAGTATGGTGAAATGGTTGTGTGATAAACAGAAGAATTCAGCTCTTTACTGCCAAGATATGGAATATGCTGAGATCTATATGTATTTTACTAGGAATTTTATAGAAAACTGTACAAAATGTATCTCAGCAGATCTCAAAGCTGATTCTTAAAAGAATGACCGGGGAACTGATTTTTAAATGCTAATATTCACTTGGAAAGATTGCACTCCAATGCTATGGCAAAATTATTATTAATCATTAAGAAAATGAAAATTTCCTAGCAAATTTGCTGTAATACGAGGAAGTATGTATTTCATTTGGTAACAGCTGCTAAATTCCATAACTTAAAGTTAAGTTTTCATTTCAGCTTTTCTGGGATAATCAGTGATTTTATGTGGTATCTCACTGCCTCCCCCTTCCACATTTAGATGCTAACAAAACCAGGGGAGTTTTACTACAACTACAACTCAGCTGGCACGTTTTTCCCAAATCTCCTGGTAGTGCAGAAGAACACAGTAGGCACTGTTACAGCTACCTATTGTCTTGGCAACTAAAAAATACAGCTAAGAGGAACAAAGAGAGCTCTGGCTCTTCCTTTTGTGCAACGTCCTCAAAGTACTAGTGCAATGAAGTTTGAAGAAAATTATTAAAAAAAAAAATGCTGACATGGAAATGAAAGGCAGTTGCTACTGCAAGTTAAAGCATGGCCCAGTCTTAGCAGTTCCTAAAATGGGCTGATGTTAACTTCAGTTTAGTCTGTATGCCAGATTACATTCAGGTATTGTAGCATTCCTTGCATTTCTGAGTAGATGTTAGTACATATTACTTTTCATTTAGAAGTGAGAAGCAGAAAAAGTTATAGCACTAAGCTGAAGTAGAGATCTTTTCTGGATGAGTTTATCACTTCTCACAACACCTTCTTTATACTGTATGTTACTTTATTTATTCAGTTTGATTATGTTTTCCTCCTTTCCCCGCCAAATTCATCAGGTTATATTTTGCAGCTATGACATAGAAAAACTTTTACATTAACTGCAAATTAAGAGAGGTACTGAAGGAAGTTGCAACACTGTGGTGACTTTAAAGTGTATTTTTTGTTGTGTTTTATTTTTCTGTGTGTGCATTTGTTTGGCTTTTTGTGGTGTTTTTTTGTTTTGTTTGTTTGTTTGTTTGTTTGTTTTTAATATGTTTATGCAAATATCTGTGGTGGCCTGAATACTGGAAACTCAGATTTGCATTTTCAACTAAATGTATGTAGCTCACCTGCATGGCTAAGGCAGTCAGGTAAATTACAGTAAGGAGGAGTACTGACTTGAAACTTACTTTTGTTAAATTAGATAGCTTTCTGTCCACAAATGATAGCAGTATACATTTATGGCTGTGCACACACCTCTTCTGTGTGCTTTCAGCAACAAAATTCCATTTAATAGAAATCCTAACCTGCCTAGGCATGAAAATGTGCAGTGAAGGCACAAAAACATCAGCTTTCATCTTCTGCGTAATAAAACTGTGAAATAATCATTATAATTGCACCGTTCTGATATTTGTGGGCCCAGACTAAACTAATTTCAAAAGCATGGTTTTATTAATACATTTTCCCTTCTCCCACAGTATTTCTAAATACACAAAAGGTGTGCTGTTATCAGGATTAAGCTAGGGGTGTTTTTTTTCCTTCTTTCAGTTGTAGCCACACAGGTCTTTCTAGCCTTGTTTTGTAAGGTACATCTCATGAGGGACACCTGGGATTGGCATACTCCGCTTCAGAGCACTCTCCCTTTCCCTCAGGGCAGTAGAACATCTCTGCAGCTGTTGCATGGTTCCTACAGAGAATACTATCAGATAAAACAGAAGGTTGTGCAGCCTACAGTCAGCAGGAAGCATTTGGGACTCCCCAGTAATGCTGCTTGGTACAAAGAACTGTTTACACCAGTGTAATGCAGCAGTTTAAATTCTGTCATGGACTGTTATATTTTAATACTATTTTAAAATAAGTGCATGGGTGATAAATGTTACCAAGTATTAATTATAAAGAGGATGGACTTATTTATGGTACACTAATTATAATGACTATTTCTGAAATATGATCACAGAGTCACAGAATGGTTGAGATTGGAAGTGGCCTCTGGAGGTCATGTTGTTCAACCCCTCTGCTCAAGCACAGTCCCCTAAAGCAGATTGCCCAGGACCGTGTTCAGGTGGCTTTTGAATATCCTCAAGGACTGAGATTCCACAACCTCTCTGGGCAACCTGTTCCTGTGCTCTGTCACCTTCACAATGCATAATGTAATAAAAAATGTTTTGCATTTTTATTAAAGGTAAAATTGTTCATGCATATGAATACGTATTTGATCAGAAGATGTCATTAATAAGACACTGCAAAGCCAGGCAGCACGAGATTTATAGTTCAGCTGAGAAGTCAATAGTGTCATTAATGACTAGAGAAATCATTCTCTGCTTTGATTTTTAACTTGCTGAGCATTAGGAAACTAGGAAAACAAATATAAATGAGAGAAAATACGACCGAGGCAGAATACTGACCTGTAAATTTTAATCTGAAAGCGTAAATGCTTTAGTAGTAAATTACAGTATCATGATTGTACTCTACTGAAGGAGGTCCATTTCTAAGGCAATTCAGGCTAGAGAAAAAAAAAGCCGAAGAATTTTGCTCAGTTGGTATGTAAATGCAAGATCCATGCCTACAAAAGCTTTCACTTAATAAAGTACAGATACTCACAACTTCAGTTAAACTGGCATGAGATTTTGGGTAGTATGCTGATAAGTGGCAGACTGATAACGTCATCTGATTTAATTTTTGGAAAATTAAGAGGTTACAGATTTATCCTAATGAGTAAACCACAGGGAAAACAGTAAAAAAAATGTAGTATGCTTATTCAGAAAATGCATGTTAATTGTACTAGCCACTCTTTGGACCTAACTGTCTTATACATTGTTTATTAAAGTAATGAAATCATAATCTCTTCAATAGGTGTTTGAGAGAAAACTTAAATCCCAGATATCATCTTTAGTAGCCTAAACAATGCAGAAAATATGTTCTCCTGGGGATGGGGTGGAGGGCAAGGGAAGAACAACTGAATGCTAAACGTATGTACATTCTTTTTTTCCACTTCCATTTCTTCCCAGAATGTTATACAGCAAATGGGGCTGACTATCGTGGCACTCAGAACCAGACCTCCCAATATGCAGGGAAACCTTGTCTTTTTTGGAATGAGACCTTTGAGCATCCTTATAATACTCTGAAATATCCCAATGGGGAGGGAGGGCTTGGAGAGCATAACTACTGCAGGTAAGAAATACCTCATTGCTACTAACGTTACCTATATACTCAGAGTTACTTTAAACAGTTGACACAAAATTAGGAAACTTTCTGTCATACAGTGAAGAATGTCAGAACCATGGATATCTAACAAGTTTTGTTTTACTCTGTAATCAGTACCCTGGATCTACAAGCACGACTAGTAGAATAACTTTTTCATACCAGCTCTCACCTGAAGTCTATATCATGTATCCCATCTATAATTTGGCAGGATGGAGAAAGAGTAGAGGTTACTTACATTAAAAGGTGGAGATGATAAGAAAAAAATTGATTCAAGCCAGAGGTGCAGAAGCGCTAGTGGATGTCTGTAGGAGTTTGGAACATTATGGTTTTTATCCTCACCCGTAAGCCTGCTTCTGTTATACACTACGTCTCTGAGTTTTGTGCTAATGAAAGTTATGTAGTCACTAAAAGTTCCTAGTAAGCATAAGATGTTCAGTGGCTTGGATTCAGAAGCTCAACTGTCAGTGGTTACAATAGCAGCTTAAGCCATGACAGATCCACTGTCATTTACTTGCCTTCTAGAGAGGTCCTCCATAACTATGGATAGAACTCAAAATGAAACTTAAATAAGAACTTCAGAATTTAGTAGCCAAACAAGAACCCAAGTTCAGAGATGTTTAGGCTCTGCAGGCTCTTTTCAGCCTGCAACATTTAACTTCCTAATGCTGTGCATCAGGAAATTACATACAACTGTAGGACTGACTGTTTTTATGCCCATCTATACTTGCTGTGGAAATAGGTAGGGAATAACCTGATAGATACATTGCTCAAACAGTAATAATCATTAGCTCGCCTAGGATGCATATAAAGTTGAGTGATATCTCTTACTCACTTGTTAATGGGGACGGAGATGTTTAAACCAAGAGATTAAGAATTGAGTTACCTGGGGCATAGCAAGAAAAGTTCTAAAGTCTCCTTTGTGAGAAGGTTCAAATCACACCTTAATTCTCCTGGAAGATGCTTTTACTTATCAGGTTATAGGCTTTCTGGGGTAGAGCGTATACACTTGCCACCTTTATGCTGAAATAATTTCACTATAAGCAGTATAAATCAGGAAAAACGAGGCAAAATTAATATGCAAGAGTTCAGCACAATTGTCACGAACATAGGGTCCTGGTTCTTGATCCAAGAATTTTTCCATATTTAATCAGATATTCAAGGAAATATGACAGAGGCAAAGCCAGCCAGTTAATGGAGAGTAAGTAATAAAGCACAGAAAAGAGGTCTTGTGACATGCAGCAGACAGATGAGCACATTGATGAAAGCTGTCAGTGGCATTTCCAGAGTATTTGAGGACTCAAGAGGATATTTCTCATTGAAGAACATTGGTGAAGGACTTGGAAGAAAAAGACTTACTCAGAATCTTTTCCAGTGGCTGCAGTGGTGCTTCAGAGTAACACTGTTCAGTATGTTGCACCAGTGGGCTCTGTCTTTAGCCACAGAAGAAGAAGGCATTATTTCCAAGTTCTGAATTGACTCTCCTTGTAGTCAGTTCAGCACCTTACAGGAGCAAAGAAAAATACACCACCTACAAGAGAAACTCCACAGAAGTTGGGTATTCTCTTCAGAAAATGGCCTGGAAACCAAATAAACCCATCAAGCTGTCTAGTATCAGATCAGCATATAAGCACTGTAAGGACTGTCTTTCTATCAAAAACATTTCACACCAACTTCACAGACTCCCTCAGCCCAACACCACCAAATGCAAAGCAATTTCCATGACATGTAGTGAGCTGTGTTTCTCAGTATGCATACTAGTAAGGAACTAGAAAAAGGCTAGTGGCCACTGCAAATAGCAGATTCAAGAACATAATTTTGATTGTTGCTGTGTGGCAATATCCTAGATAGACTGTATCTACAGGGTCTTACTTTTGTCATTTATCGATACTTAAGTTAGTACAAAACAAAACATGTACATGAGAAACTCAATATTTATCCAGGTATTCAAGTAATCCCTACTAGAAACTCACCTTACTTAGTAAATGAGAATTTGGTAAGTGTTACAAGGAGCAAGAAGCCTATAATCTGGTATGTAAGCCTGAGAAATGACTTGATTACCAAATACAGCTTTTTAACCTCAACCCACTAGGTTTTAGATTGTCGTCTTTGAGATGGAGTTTGACTGGAAGGTTAGCCATTTCCTTCTTTATGCTGTATCACTTGGCCCAGGAATATTCCCACAGGTGTGTGGAATGATGATCCTAACTAACAGATGCGTTTAAACTTCATATTCTGTTCAAAAAGAGCTTGGAAAGTCACTGTTTTAAGAGTGTCAGAGCATACGTTTAGCATGCAAATCTTGTTGAGGCCTTGCGAGTGAAGATACCGCTGGTTTAGCTCTTTCTCTGCCATTCATTTGCTTGGTGACAATGGATGAGATGATCTTCCCTTCTCTGAGGCAACACATACCTCACAAGGCTTTTTCAAGGCATAATACATTGCTTTGAAGCTCAATTTTAGGGACAATATTTGAATAATCTAATTTTACACTTAAAACGTTAATCAGAAGCATGTTATCTCTCCATGGGTGGTCCTTACTCGGAATACTTTGTTTACTTCAAGACACCCTGTTAAGATGGAAATGTCTCATAATGTCCCACTAAACCTCATTTCAGCCGTAACAAAATTAAGCAGGCTGAAGTTTTTGGAGATTTTGAAAGACATTACATTGTTTTCTAACTGTACGCACTTTTGAGGTTCGAGGCCAAGATTTCTAAAGACATTAATCACATTTCTCTGCAATTGCCTTGCATTTTAAGGCATTTATATATGGAGTGCCATTACCGTGATTCAATTACAGACATCTGATTTCTGTCATGCAGGTGTAAACCCAAAATTTCCTGTAACTGTGCAAACAAGGACAATTGTGTTATTTCAAGTACAAGCTTTCCTTGATTTTAGTCTCCAACTTTATTTAGTCGCTGGAAGCTCTGCCATTACGCCTACATTCCTAGCACACTAGTGTTAGGCTTTCCTTATCCACTACTTTTACTAACCTGTTTGAAAGCCTAACTAGCAGCTTTTTAGTCAGCTAAATTGAACTCAACTCACCAATTGTCTTCAGCATTCTGTTACTTGACCAAAAAACACGTGAGCAGTTCTAAAACTGGATCTCCTACAAAGAGTTGTTAATATGGCCAAAAGACAGTGTGCAGCTGAACTGACACTTCAGTTTTGGGGGGTCTTATTAATAGAATTTATGCCAAAGTACGTGATAAAAAGATTGCAGTTGGCCCTAGTTACAAAAAAAGGTCATATTTCAACCTGACCGTCCAAAATAATAATTTATTCTCTTAACTTGATCTTTTCAATGTGAACAGTTTATCAAAGTGTGCACAGAAAAAAACTTTAAATAACTTCATGACTAATTAGGTTTGCACTTGTAAAGGATGCTACACAACAGCAAAGAATAATGATGGACATATAAGGAATTACCTTGTAGAATCATAGAATCGTTTACCTTGGAAGGGACCTTAAAGATCATCTAGTTCCACCCTTCCTGCCGTGGGCAGGGACACCTTACACTAGACCATGTTGCTCCCAGCCCCGTCCAACCTGGCCTTGAACCCTTCCAGGGAGGGGGCAGCCACAGCTGCTCTGGGCACCCTGGGCCAGCACCTCACCGCCTGCACAGGGAACAATTTCTGCCTTAGATCTCACCTAAATCTGCCCTTTTTCAGTGCAAAACCATCACCCCTCATCCCATCCCCACCCCCTGATCCAGAGTCCCTCCCCACCTTTCCTGTCCCCCCTTTAAGCCCTGGGAGGCCGCTCGAGGGGCTCCCCGGAGCCTTCTCTTCTCCAGGCTGAACCCCCCCAACTCTCTCAGCCCGGCCCCCCAGGGGAGCTGCTCCAGCCCCCCCAGCATCTTCGTGGCCTCCTCTGGCCCCGCTCGAGCAGCTCCGTGTCCTTCTGCTGTTGGGGGCCCCCGAGCTGGCCCCAGCACTGCAGGGGGGTCTCCCCAGAGCGGAGCAGAGGGGGAGAATCCCCTCCCTGGCCCTGCTGCCCCCCCTGCTCTGGCTGCAGCCCAGGGCACGGGTGGGTTCTGGGCTGCGAGGGCACATTGCTAGCTAGATCAGATCACTGGAACAGATTTATTCAGCTTTACTGAAGGGGAATTAAATACCTCAGTCTTTCCCAGAAGACTTTATTGGATAAATGTTTTTGTCATCATATATACAGAAAGTTGGAATATGCACTATTTTCTACTAAGGCAAAAATCAAGTTTAGTAGTCTGAGGAACCTGCACCCAGGATGTGGGGCTGAAAACCTTCCTTTCTCTCAGTACTGTCCAGAAAGAGCTTGACATCTTTTAAACTTAAAGAAAAAAGAAGTTATGTTTTAGACATTACTAGCATTTTGTGCTTGCTGTGTACTTGTAATAACCTGAACTTCCTGATCAGTTATGCATTTTTCTTAGAATGTAAGTCCAATGCGTTAAATATTGAATAGGCATTAGAGCAAAAACAGTAATGACATTGAAGCTTAATAAGATTTCTTCTTATGTGTTTTTTTGAAAATATCTGATGACTTTTCACTCACTCTCTCTATTTTTCTCTTTCAGGAACCCTGACGGAGATGTCAGCCCGTGGTGCTACATTGCAGAGCATGAGGATGGAATATATTGGAAATACTGCGAGATTCCATCCTGCCGAAGTAAGAGCACCATGCAATTTTTTTAGGCCCGCATCTCTGTTGAACAGAGATTGGCAGTTATACAACAGTGGGTAGTGATTTTCATACAGAAACTAGGATAAGGCCAATCAGCTTGTTTTCATTTGCAGACTAAGCAATATTTTAAATGGGTCTGTAGAGTTAATGACAAGCTTACTGAATCATTCCTCCATTGCTATCCTTTTCATGTCACCTCAGAATTACTGGATTATTTACAAATAATGCTAGTCAGAGAATCATTCAAAACTTACAAAGTACTGTTAGTTTTTGAATCCATAGAAATAGGTCATTCATTTATTACAATTTAGAGGGCAAAAATTAATAGGAAATGATTAATTTTGTTTTTTCTTTACAATGCACGTATGTGTCCATCATTTGCAATGAGCTTGTAAAATAGATTACATTAGTTTAATGTGTATAACACATCATACACAGAATTGATTGGAAGAAATAAAGACAGTATGAGAGGACATAGGGAAAAGTTGGCTATTTGTTTGGTATGTGGGAGCTCTGGGATAGATAGAATTCTGTTCCTTGCAGGTGCATATACTTAGCATTGCTGTGAAACCACAAACTGGACTTTGTTAGAATTTTTTTTAACAGATAATTCACAAGCTATTCACCTGAAGCTTCCTTCCAGTATTTAATATTTCTAATCTATTCTATTAGTTACCTCGTCCAAAATGTGGAGGTTTTGTCATGATTTGTGTCAGTATGTTCCAAAATTTTCATTTCTGAATGCTCCATGATAAACTCCCAAGAATAGCATTCTTTAAAATATGCCTCCATATTAAAAAGTTCTTCCAGTTTTGCATGTTAACAAGCAACCATAACTACAGATTTTATTTAGTCTAATTGCTAATGCCTTTACTTGCTTTCCTAACTTCTGTGCAATACTCTCTATTTGTAAGGGATAACTTATGTGTATACTGTTAAGCTTCAGAGCAGTTGTCCTTACACAAGCATACTTTTGATTGGAAGAAGTACATTCCTTACTTGAAGTTAAGAAAAGAAAACCAAACAAAGGAAAACGGATCTAAAGTGATTTTTTACTCTGTCCACAGTTTTCTTTTTTTTACAAATGTGAGTGATTCACATCTTCAAACTAAGCAAGCGAATACATAAATGTGACCTTAAGTCACGTGACTTTTACCTAGACTTAAATAGAGATTAAGGAGCCTAATTTAAATAACACAAAAATCATTCAACACTCCAATATTCATTGTTCAGAGGACATCTTACTCTTATTTTTCGAATATACCAGGTCCTATTTAGGAAACATGGCCCTCCTAATTAAGAAATTTATCTTGGTCTAAAATGAAAGAATTTGCATTTTCTTTAAAGACCACAGATGTTAACAAATTCTCTGGATATGGCACCAGTAAAAAAGCTGAAAGGCAAATTCTCTCCACTCCATTTGTTCTACACAAAGGATCCTTTTAAAACCAGCCTCGCTCATTTTCTCTGTGGTGGGGAGCAGAGGATTTAAACTTGGACACTTACTTGCACAGATAATCCAGACTCATATTTACAAAATGTCCTTTTGACCAGTAGCAGCTGCTTCAGGCATTGCGCTGAAACTGGATACTAGAAAAAGGAATTGCAGCAATTTAGAACAAACTGTATATTGCAAGCCCATCCAAGTCTTAATACAAACCTCATGGTTTATGAAGCTGTGCAAATAAAAAAACCCTTTTATTCTTTACCAGATTTTCTGTTTTCAGTAAGCATGATGCTGAATCGTAGGACCGTCAAAACCGACCTGTGAAGTGCATAATACAAAACTGAACTTTGTGATGGAGCAAGAAAGCAATTGTGTAAAGAAATCCTATTTGAAATTTTTAGAGAAGTAAAAAAATTGTCTTATATAAGCTTCTCCATAATTATATTTACTACTAGAAAAGACAAGTATCTGGAGCATAATTTACCTATAAACTATACCCACATAATAGCACTACAGTGGCAACAACATGAAGCGTCTTGATTGCCTAGGGAGATTTGCATGCAATGATTCACTGTAACAATAATTAAGAAACTACAGTTAAGAAGTTTTCATTATGATGACGATGATTTCACATGATTGTATCATGTGTCTTGTTCACTAATATTTATACGTAGCACTAAATGTTTCATTCGGAAATGTGTTCTGGCATTCTGCATGTGTAAACATGCAGTACAGAATTTAGCAATGTTAGATGAGGATGAATGGGCATAATCACAGAAAACAGTGGTAGTTACCACAGTAGGAGCTTAGTCTTTCCTTTTCTTCCTCTCTTCTTCTCAATGGCTTGTCTGCTAAGCAGACTGGAATGGACGTAAACAAAATAAACGGCAAGAAGGCAGCATGAGTCCTGAGAGAACATGTGCATTTCACATGGAGAATTCAGAACTGAATGCTTTAGAAGGTTTGTTTGCAGTGTTGCAGCTATTCATGACTTCTTTGGTCTCTTTATTAATGAGGTTAAGTTGAAATTAAAAGGAAATAACAACTTATGCTTCCAAAAGGTGAAAGAAAGAAAGGCTTGCTGTCCCACTTAATTGCATCTCCATATTTATGACCCGCATGAGTCTCTTACCATAAACAGATTTCATTACTGGAATCATATTTCACATGTGCGTGTGTCATGTAATAATTTTGACTGAAATATTGATGAAGTGTTAAATGGCAGAGCCAGGTAAGTTGTACAGAGCTGTACTGATCAGTCTTTTAAGATTGACCTGTATACATTTTAACACAGGAACAAAGAAAGTAGCTTGCACAATTTGAGACATACTGGTGCATACTACTGTTGCAAAAAGCTAGGAGGTTCTTGAAAGATAGCTAGATGAGCATAGCTGGAACATGGTTTTGAGCTTAAAAGGATGAATTCCATGGTTTAACACACGTACCTTAACATGTAATACGCAGAAGCTCTGGTGTTTGCCAGGACCTCATTATGTCAGATGCTGCTTAAAAGAAAAATAGCGTGCTTGCACAGAAGTGACCTTTCAAGCACAAGAGAACAAATAGATGAAAGTGGGTGAAGACAATGTAACAGTAAGCCATCACTGATCAGCATGGACACTAATAGCAGAACATTGACTACCTTGTATTTGCCAAGCTTCTTTAGTAGGCTAGACCTTAAGAGCAAATTAAGGCAAACGATTACGTTGGAAATTTTTGAAGGTCAGAGTAACTACAGTCACTACCTATCTAGAAATACTTTGGATTCTTCATTGCTTTATATATAGATATACATATGAATATATATAGATATATATACAGATTTATACATACACATAGGGTTGTAGGGTGCTCTAGGTTGGAAGGAACCTTGGGCCATCAGCTAGTCCAACCTCCTGCTCAAAGCAGAGCCAGCTCTGAGATCAGACCAAGTTACTCAGTTTGTCAGATTAGACTGTTTCCCCAGTCAGGCCACGACAACCTCCAGGAACACAGAGTGCACTCCCTTTCTGAGCCCTTGTTCCCGTGCTTGACAGCCAGCATGGTGAAAAGATTTGCCTTATATCCAGGCTGAACACCTCATGTTTTAGCTTAAGCTCCTTACCTCTTGTCCAAAATGCATCACTGTGAAGACCCGGGTTCCATCGTTGTGACAGCCTCCACGTAGGTATTGCAAAGCTGCTAGGGGCTGCCACCCCAGCCTTCTCTTCTGCAGGCTGAACAAGCCCCAGTCCTTCAGCCTCTTCTCACGGGGTGAGTGCTCCAGCCTTCTGAGCCTCTTGGCTCTCTGCTGAACTCGCTTCAGACAATTAATGTATTTCTTGCACTGGTGGGCCCCAAACTGGACATCGTGGTCCTAACAAGTGTGGAGTGGAGGAACAATCACTTCCCTTGATCTCTGGCTGTGCTTATCTTAATGCAGGGCTGTTGGCTGCCTTTGCTGCCTGGCACACTGCTGGCTCCCGTTCAGCTCCCTGTCTATCAGGACCTCAAGGGTCTTTTCTGTGGAGCTGCTCCACATAGATAAATGTACACTGTCTTGTTTCAGATTTATGTTGAGCGGCTCACTATGCAGACATCCAGATTCAGTTTAATATCATATGAATGAGGAGCATATTATTCTACTAAAAATAGTGTTGCAAAAGTGGTAATTGGTGGTCACTGTGGATCTAATATAAAGGCAGTGTTTGACAATTAGATCTTCTCCAACTCAGATTACCAATGATCTCCTCTCTACTATTATGCTTATACTATGCACTCTGATTACCCTTCAGGAGCCGCTCAGTGGTGTCTCAGGTTTAGGACCTCAGTAGCCGTAGGAAGAACCGACATACCTAAATCATACATGCACGTACAGAAGTAATGCTTTTGTGTGTCGTCCCAGTTCAGAAGAGCGTTTAATCCTGTATTTGATGTGGGACTACTAAAGTGCTTTTAGCTGAGAGTATATCCTTGGGCTCATGTCGTTTGTTCATTTGCTATCAAAGTAATTTGAAGGGCTGGGCATTGTCATGGAAATTACTGCTGTTGGGCTAGACTGATGCTTCTCCTGTTTATTCCCACTCACATGACACTAATTTTGTTTGCTAGATACAAGAAAGTTAAAATACTACTGGGACACCAAAGAGACTAATTAGCTTTAGGATGTACCCAAATGTTATGCTTGATTTAGTTACAAAATATAAGAAGTTTTCAGATTACTTAGTCTGGTTTCTTAACATGGAACATATTGAAGTGCGGATCCTCTGGAGACGAGGTTGAAGGATCTCACCACTAAAGCTACTTTTAAAAAAAGAAGTATATATATGTAAAATACGTGTTTTTAGGAAATCCCAGGTCTCCTAGGAAAATGAGCTAGGTTGGTTAATTAGGAAGCTATTTCAGGGCAGTGAAATCATGCACTGTACAGAAAATGGAGCTCTCTTTGAGATTTATCTGCCCAGCTGTACTCAGCTGGGGTGGGGCTGCAAATGGGGATTTCCAAAGGTATGTTAAATCAGGCTGTAACTTGAAGTCTCAGTACTTACACGCATGTTGCTGCAGGGCATATCAAAGCCATAGCTCCATGCAAGTATTTATACTTGAAATTGTATCATTCTTAGAAAACAAAATTATTTTATGAATTATATTTATCTAATTCAAAAAATATACATACTTGAATCTTCTTCCCAGATTCATTACTTCTTATTTATAATACTATAATCATCCTCCTTAAGAGTATAATCATATACACGCTAGTATATTTGTTGGTCACTAATAGATATGTTCATCATTTTCCTCAAACAAAGGAAGCTGTCATATGCAACATAGTCTAAGGCTGGGAGCAAGTTCTCAGGCCTGCTAACTGTTCCAGATGTCAGGATGATTCAGATTTTAACAGTAAGCTGACATCAGTTTACAAGCTCAGTATATAATATTCCAAAAGAACAGGGGTGAGATCATCTTTGTTAGAATTAGACAAATAGAGGTTCTGAATCCAAGGCATTATTTCAATGGCTGCTGCACATGGACATCCATAAGAAATCCCAGAATTGGGCCTTCCAGAATCCAGTGGAGAGATACTTCCAGGACTACTGTACAAGATTGCTCTATACAAAAGGATCATTGCATTCCTATTGTATTTCTGTGAAAGTACAATCGTGTAGAAGCAGTTTATTAACACACAGATTATCTGTTAGAGCAAAGAGCCACCTGTACAAGAGATGGCTAGTTCAGAAGGAGCCCCAAAACAGCTAATCCACTGCTATTGGGCGTCAGAGGCTGCAAAACCCCAAACCCAGCACTCCCCCCCCAAAAAAACTATTGGTAAATCAAAAACCTGAAACAGTGCTGTGCCACAAGATGATAGCAAGACAGTTCAGAATTTACTGGGTACTGAAATAACAAATAACTAAAACTCTTCTACAGTTCTCTGACTGCATTACGTGTTATACAAAGCTGTGGAGGTTAGGTGGATGAAAAATAATCCTTGTTAATCTGGCACAGGGATAAAAATTATCTGACCACAGAGCTGGTAATAGATTTAATTCCAAGTGTGTGAGCAGATACAGCAATTTTATGCCATTGGCACAGCACTGTATTGTACCCCACATCCTCTCTCTAGTAGTCATGGCTAAATTCCAGTGCTTTGATGAAAAGTGCAAAACCAAAACAAAACCAGAGGACAAATTATGCATTGAAGGGGTAAGATTCTTTCTGACCTCCCAGAGTGACCAAGGAGCCTTGAAACATTGTATTAGTACAGTATAAATAGATGCTTCTTTAAAAAAGTAATATTGCTCATTTGGAATCTCTTTGTACATACCATAAAATAGGACACTTTGACTTCACATCAGAATTCAAGTTTTAAATATTAGGAAAATCCCCTATATAAGTCTATAGTCCCTCTCATAAAACTTGCCACACACCAACCTAAACCAGTTTAGGTTCCCTTCCTCAAATATCCTGTTTAGAAACCTTCCAGAACGTCATTGCTTCAGAGATCAGATAGAAATCACATTGTTGAAATTACATTGTTAGAATATGCACGACTGTAGTCAAAAAAATCCACAAAACCTCTGAACCCACTTAATGCCTTTTTTTTAAAAAAAAAAAAAAAATTGTCTGTATCAGGAGACATGAACGAGGTATTTATCTTGTCTATATTATTGCAGCTTGCAGAAACCAACTAGAGAATATTGCAGGTGTATTGCTAAGAAGATATGATGCTATTTTCACCACCTGGGCATGTTTGGAAAATATGACAAGGATCTAGCATAGAGTAACATTTCCCATACTGCGAAATCAAGACAAGAAAATGTAGAGAGCTGCTTAGTTACCAGGTAGTGCAGAAAGTGGTCTGTGTCTTGGGTGTTCCCAGGCACACCTTTAGAATGACTGTTGTCTGTTATTCTTGCCAGTGCCGGGGAATCTAGGGTGTTACAAGGACCATGGAGAGCCACCACCTTTGACTGGCACCAGCGAGACTTCCAATAAACTTACTATCCAAACATGCATCAGTTCCTGCCGAAGTCAACAATTTAAGGTGATTTCTTTGACATACATTTACAAAATGTTTTCAAAGACAAAAGATGGCAATATGCCTAGAGCTCTCAATCTTAATTCTCCCCCTCCCCACTTTTTTTTTTTTTTTTTTTTCTTCTTCACCTTTAGAAGGTCTAAGGTCTCACTCCCACTGCAAGGGACCTAGCCGTCTCTCTGCATCCAGAGCAGTCTGGGCAAACGAGCAATTAATAATGCCAGGATGCCAGGAAAAAGTCTGCTTGCTTACTGCAGCTATGAGGGATAGCAGGGTGCCCTAATTGCCCTCCATTCCATCTTTCTTGCTAGTCTTAAGTAGCATCCTGACAGCTCAAACAAAACCAGTATGTCGTGGGACCTCTGACTAGTCATACTTCTCCAAAACACACATATTCTGCTGCCAGCTTTCTTGCTCATACAACCTTGTGCTGTCAGTCCTTTAAATATTATCCCGCCCTTCCTCATGCATCTTTGTTGTCAAAGTTCGCAGGCATGGAATCAGGTTATGCTTGTTTCTGTGGAAATAATCCCGACTACTGGAGATATGGGGAGGCAGCCAGTACGGAATGCAACAGTGTTTGCTTTGGTGACCATACTCAGCCTTGTGGTGGGGATGGCAGAGTCATTCTTTTTGACAGTAAGTATTGAAACAGGCTCACTTTTTCCCAATGGAGAGGCCTCAAATGTTCAGCAAATTAGGGAAAAGGGTTTAAATGCAATGAGAACTGTTGCACACAAAACAGCAAAACACATAATTTCAGTATAAAATAAAGCTGCTTTCCATTTCTGCATAAAATTCACATCCATTAATAATGTGAAATAGCTCTTCCAAGAAATGATGCCTGCTCAGGCAACTGACTCATGCTCCAGAAATGGTCTCTTAAGGCCACACAAATGGTACTAACTCAGCTATCACAAAGAGCACGTCACGGGAAGACTCCTTCAGAACTGATCTTACCAGAGAGTAGATATATGACTAAGTGAGGCACCTCAAAATTTCAGTCTACACCAACTTGATTTTTTTTTTATTAAACCAGATGAGACTTGCTACAACCCAGTTAACACAACACGAAGCAGGGTCGTAGGCTTGAGACAGGAGTGTACTGCAAAAGTAAGATCAAGTTAGGTTGCTATTAAGACCATTGCTGATTTAATAATTTCTTATACATAGAAGTCCTCCATTCTACTCTCCTTTTCAGTATACATACCAATGCCAGCTGTGTGACTTCACAGGTTGGTGGTATGAGTACCCAGTGTCTGGCTGCAGTACGGGCTCCCAGTATAGCTGGGAGTACTGGAAAAGTTCACAGTATGCACTGATATATCGTTGTTTCTCAGATCTCAACTGCCTCTGATGGAGAAACTACATTTTAAGTCTAGTTATAAACTTTCTGGAACTAAAAGCACCGTCTTTTTCCATCTTCTGAACACAGAACCAAACTTCCCATCTCCTTACTCTAAAACACTGGTTCCCAGCTGGAGAGACAGAAAGACATTTCAGTTGAGACAGGCATTAATCACTCTGTTCACATTCCAAATCTCCTCAAGATAAAAGATGCACCAGGGTTGCGCGTTGCTTTCAGTGTTGAGACAGCATGTAGCTTCACACTGCAGCATCCTCTGTTTCCTTCTGCTCTTGGCTTCCCAAATCCTCAGTGGGTAAAGGCTTCCCCTGTAGCTTTCCTTTTCTGCAATGATCGAGGGCTCTGCAGGATGTTGCCCTGAGGACCTGCACTGTCTTTTCTGGCAAGGGAGAGAGCTACGGCCAGGTAAGAGAGGACGTCCTAGCAACTGCCACCTGTTTTGCTGAGGAGCAACACCTGCTCACCTCATTCCTCTTTTTCCAGATTATGTCATATCCCCAGAAACTTCACCTTGATCCCTGTACACCCCTCCTCCCTCCCCCCTTATAAACTTTATGTGTTTATGTGCTACTGTCATGGTCTAAAGCTGTAACATCCAGACCCACGACACAGAACTCTGCCAGCTCTAGAAGGACATGAGAGAAGGAAAGCATTTCCATTCGATATGGGGCAAGGCTGTACTTCGTTAGGCATCTGTGGAGCACTAGCCATTGGCTTTCTTCGTTAATATGGCTGGTTTGAAGTACATCTTGTGATTCAGTAATTACAAACAGCACAGCCAAATGTAACAATACCTATAAGCCATTTGCAAAGAGGAAATCTGATATCTCAATGACAAATTTCAGTTTATCAATTCAATCTATTCTGTCTATTCAAACAATTCTATCTGATTGAATCACTAGCTCTGTTAGCATGGAGTAAGTGCCAAACACAAATTCCTCTATGGGCCCTACTACCTCTGTGGGGCCTTTCACATTCTTTCTATTCTTCTTTCATATTCTTTCAGTTCCTCTATAAGGTCTTTCATAGTGCGGCGCTGAAGTGTGAGGTTTGCTCAGGCTGTGATCAGGCCTTGCTCCAGAAAAAGAGAGAAATGTTTTCATGTGATTTTTCTGGCAGACATAGCTACTTCTTGTTCTCGTTCCCCCAACTCTCTTTTAATTTCTATTTATTAAAGCTCTTTCTCAGAGGCCTGTAAAAACAGACACTGCAAAACTTGCTTTATTTCCATTCTCACAGGCCTCTATTACAGGGCTTTAATTAAGCTTTCAGAAAAAATAATTATACTTTTGATTCTTCAGTCCTTCAGCCAATGATATGGGGGAGTAATAACTTGATCCAATCAGTTTTGTTGTGAAATATATTATTAAAAGTGTATTTAGGGGATATATAAAAATACATATATAAGCATATATACCTATATAGAATACATTTTAAGAGTTATATATGCATTAAGTCAGCTGGCTGGCATTTGAGCTTCTCTCTGGATTCATTGGTAAATAAGTTTGCACTTGGGAATCTGGATAGTTGTCAAGGAATATAAAGATTTACTTGGTGTGAACTTGTTTTGAATATAAAAGCAACAAATCCAAAAGATTTTCTTTAGACTTCATAACAGGATCTTTTGCTAAGTTACTTAGTGAAGGTGAGGTCAAACATTAACTGGACAAGATCAAAAGACAAGATGCTTAAGAAGCACATACAAATGGCCACAAAAGTGATTAAGGGATGACAGCATCATTCATACAGGGAGAGCCTGCGGGATCTTGGATTGTTTAGCCTTGAGAAAAGAAGGCTCAGGGCAGGATATTTTTAATTTGTATAAATAACCAATGGGAGGGTGTAAAGATAAAGCCAGACTCTCCTCAGTGTTATCTGGTGCACAGACAAGAGGCAACAGGCACAAATTGATAGACAGGAAAATTCATTTAAACATAAGGAAAAACTCCTTATGGTGAAGGTGACACTGGAGCAGGTTGCCCAGAGAGGTTGTGGAGTTGCCATCCTTGGCACCTCAGAACACAACTAGACGGTGTCTTCTGCTTTGAGCAGTGGGATTGAACTAGACAACCTCAGCTATTCTGTGAAGACTCATTTTTTTTCAGTTTGATGAGGCTGTGAAGGAATTTCAATAATTCAGCAGTGAGAGTTACAGTCACTAATCCTCTTGTCTGCCTGTTTGATAGGGATGGAGTTCACGTCCCAGAACCAGTCATTCAGCTTTCATCCTATTCCTGCAGGGATGCGGCAAAGGGCACACGGTTACATGCAAGGACAAAGGATAGTTGCAGTAATCAAAACTGATACATGGGTCTCAGAGTAATGAGAGGGAATGGGTGTATTCCAAGGAAATGCAACATAATACCTGTGCTCCCAGTCTGTCCAAGAGTAACAGTCTGCGACAGCGCATCCTGCTGAGGCAGCAAGCCTGTAGCTTCAAATCACATTTGAGTATTAGAATCTAGAGAGTGATAAAGCTGTGCATAATGAATGCATAACCTCGTGTTTTCATTTTTCTCCCTCTCCTCTTCTTTTCACAGCCCTTATTGGTGCCTGTGGAGGGAATTACACTTCTGCTACAGCTGTGATCTACTCCCCAGATTTTCCCGACACGTATGGCACAGGCAAAGTGTGTTACTGGACCATACAAGTTCCAGGAGCATCTCAAATCCACTTCAGCTTTGCCCTTTTTGAAATCAAAGATGCTACAGATATGGTGGAATTGCTGGATGGCTATACCTATCATGTTCTAGCTCGTTTTAATGGCAAGAACCGACCTCCCCACACCTTTAACATCTCTTTGGATTTTGTCATTTTGTACTTTTTCTCAGATGAAATCAATCAAGCCCAGGGATTTGCTATCAGATATAGAGGTAAGAGGCTAACTTTGCCATTTCTACCTTTCAATGAGCCGTTAAAGTGTTTAATCCATGCAGGAGATTTCTGAAGTGGCAAAAAAGCAAATATTTTAACTCTCATGTCTACAGGTGTTTCGTCTATCTTGCCACTGCTCAGTAGGTAAAAGCTTCACTAAAATTTCCCTCATTTTGGAACACCCCAGTCAGCTATGCCATGAATAGATAAACGTAATTTTTCAAAAATTCAATCCTAAACATACCTGCCTGTCAAAACAAATTGGAAAATTACAAAGCTGAAACAAAACAAAAAAAACTGCCGTCCATCTGCATCTTGGTTCATCTTGTCTCTTTGCAACAGTCTGTTCCACTCAGATCAAAAGTCATCAGGAGAGAACATTTTAGTCCTTGAGTTGTACCTACTGTTATGATGAACAATTATCTTCCAGAAAAATTCTGAGAACCCCAACCTGTTGAAGTACAGGCTTTTTCTGGCATCAGACATAATTTGACTATTAGAGTTCTCTAAGTAAACCAGAAAGCAGCACACGTCTATTTTCAAGCACAAAATAAAGCAGTTACACCTGTTAAAAAATTGTTATTGTAATAATACTCTTGTATTTTCAGCTGTGAAGGACAATGTGCATCAAAACAAGATTCCAATGAATCAGACCCTTTCAGAGAAGATAAATGATCAATCAAATCTCAGCATCAATGCAGCCCGATCATCAAAGATACTTTATGTCATCACAACCAGCCCAAGTCATCCTAGTAGCTCCATGCCTGGTAATATTACAAGAACATGTGGAAACGGGGAAAACATTTTGCCACGGTACAATCTAGAGTCACTGTTTCCTTTGCCACCTCCTCCACATTATCTGATTCACTGTGGCTTTTATTAATATATGAATTTTGGTTTAGTCTAATTACCACTAACTGTGCTGCTCTCATTACTTTTCAAAACTCAGTTCTCAGCATAAATGAGTTAGAAATAGTGTGAAGATGGTGAGTCTTTGAGAATGAAAGCACATGAGACTGTGAGTCAGAGCAGCCTCCTCACTAGAATCAGCTTCAGTGATCAGTACATAGCGCAGAGGCGGCAAAAGGTGCTGAAGGAAGCGCAAGGTTTTTGTAGAGTCTGGAAGAGCCTAAATGCTGGATGCATCCCAGTTATCCCAATTCACAAAAGCTACAGCAATAATACAAAGAGGGCTAGACAAGGATGAGGCAAGTTAATGGGTGCAGGGGAGATGCCACTGAGAACTGTCATGTGTCTAGAACTCACCTTCAAGAAATCAGGTAATTCAGGAAATGAATGAGTTGTAAATAATTGAAGAAAGGAAATGCACTTTTGGTGAATATCACTGTTGGTCTCGCCTGTCTTTCAACTACCCTGGGCATCTGTTTTTACAAACCGTTGAAGCTGGGCCTCGATCAGACTATGAACACTCTAATAGTCCTGTAGTGCTGAAGCTGTCTGCATTCCAAACCTGAAGCATGAGGACATGACTGCACGAGCTGCGTATACCCAAATTAACCAGGTTGCAGACCATGCCAAGGGTTGCGGGCAGATATTCTGGCAATAGGCCCAAGCTAGTGCCCGAGTTACCACAGCTACATTTAAGCTGCCTAGTATTAATTTAACTTGGACATACCGACCTAAGATGAAATAGCACCTTTGGATGTTACGCAGTTACGAAAATACTGCTGAAATCATCACAAACAGTCAATGCTTTGAGGAAAGGGTATTGGGTGCAAGGGACCGTATGCTTCCTTTATTTGCTGCTTTGAGCTTCAGGACTTCTTCAGGTGATGGCCTTTATTAAGTTCTAATAACTCAGGGTCCTTGCAAGGCTGTTCAGTGTCCTAAATGTCAGTTACATTCTGATGACATCCCTTTTCCCACCTCGACACACTGTAGCCTCTCACTGCAAGATTATGGAAGTCCAAATGAAAAGGTGATCTAATAATTTAGAAATCAGCTCCCTTCAGGCCCCAGTCTCTTAAATACTTCAACTGTTACCATGTGTCAAGCTGTTCTTTAAGTCCTGCTTGACTTGCTGGTACAACCAGAACTAAATTGGAAAGTAAAACACAATCACCAAGAAACTTAAGTGTAAGGTAATAAAGTAGCAGAACACAAATACCGATCACCTGTCTCAGTAGACTCTAGAAAGGAAGAAAAACCCCGCATGATACTTAGTGATTACTTACATAATTACTGATACAAAACTAGGACATCTCCTTGCAAACATGGTTACTACTGGTAGCATATATTCCAGTATGTTATTTAGTCTGCTTTTAAATTTTCCTCTGAGCTAGTTTTGGTTCCTTTCTGAGCTACTAGTTAGATGATTTTACCGGTTTATGCTTTGGATTTTCCCAATTTTCAATTTTATAGGGAGCAGTCCTGCATGGGAAAAAAACAGTTCTGACTGAGAGTTACAAAGTTTCTGACAGTCTTTGTAGAAAACACTTCAGGCATCTCCAAATTACAGTTCTGAATAAAGCATTAGAAGGCTATGTGTTTCTTCTGTGCAATATTCTTTCCTTAAAAACTGTAAGTAGATGAATGTACCGAGAGCCACTCCCTCTCCCTTCTCCCCTCTCCTCTTCTTTTTTTACAGAATGGACAATATATAGTCTCACAGCACTGCTCATCCTGAGTGTTACAGCCATAATAGCAAAGATACTCCTCCACATTACCATGAGGTGCGTATACAGCAAAACTGTCCCTGGGGAACTGACATCTCAGATCTGTACCAAACCTGGTACACTTCACTTCTCTGCCTTCTGATACTGTCAGATTGGTCATATTCAGAACCAGGTTACATATTACATATTTGTATCCTCATAGAGATACTAAATAAGCACATTTTTTAACTTTCCAGTCTGTTAGTATAGCATTTGCTGCTAGAGTATCTCTTCTGGTCTTGACAAGATTTGTATTTTAAGGAATAAAAAGGTTTCTCACACTGAGTGATGTTATATAGCGAAGAGGAGAACGTAATTGGCCACCTAGCATTGATGGAAAGAGGTCAAATTATGGTAACACTTTGCAGGAAAAAAAAAATTAAAACCTCACCCCAGATTGGGGAACTGGGGAAAAAAAGGTAGATGTAGGCTGGTTAATACTTTCTTTTACTGAAATATTGAAAACGGTTCAAAAGAGAGTCACAAAAAAGAAAATCTGTATTATGGTGTGACACTTAACCAGTGTAATTTTTTTTGCCTATTAAGAACTATGTAATTTTATTACTATATTTCTCTACACTTACACCAAGTAATTTTTGTGTCCTTCAGATGGACGCTCATTGAATGAAATGATGGGTGAGTTATCAACAAATCATAACAGCTGAATATTTTATTTACCTACCACAAACAGGCTTAAATATATAGGGAAATTAATTCATATTAATAGCAATTAATAATAGAATATGTACAGACTTCTTAGCTTAATGTCACTGCTTTCATTAGGTTAGCAACTATTCTAGCAACAGAATGCCTAACTTTTCATTTGGTCAAGAAATAACCAACAAACATTCCAAAAACCTAGATAACAGTGCAGCAGGTAGAAAGAAAAGGTGTCACAGATGTAGTGGAAGCTGCTAACGTCACCAGTATAGCAGTAATGCAGACATACTAACAACAGCAGCTTCCCAGGCACCTTAACACAGTGAATTAACACTTGTTTCCTAGATCCCATCAGATACCATCTGCAACTGAAACAGAAGATTCCAGTGAGGCTGCTACTGCTGGTGAGATCTGGAGTATATTTTACCAGCCATCCACATCAATATCCATCTTCAAGAAAAAGCTTCGAAGTCAACAAGATGATTGCAACCCACTAGTGGGAAACTGAAGTGTCTTTTGTTTTACAAGAATCAATCTTCTTAAAATCCAGGTGACTTGGGAATAATCTTTTTTTTTTTTTTTTTCCCTCCCAATTTCATACTCGTTTTCTAAAAAGTCCATTTCCAAAGGCCTTTAAGTGACTTCACCTATCTGCTGTTCTCTTGGATATACTAGTGACAACAGATTTCATTGTGGCAATAGTTTTGAAATATCTGGTACTCATCAAATCCGTAGGGCTGTTAATTACGGCCTTTAAACCAATGCACTTAAAATACATGTAAAACCCTATAAAATTAAAAATGTCCTGTACCCCTGCCAAAAGTAACTAAGTATCTGCAGGTTGCGGACTTCTTTTGTCCTGCTTTCCTGTACCACTGTATTATGTATCAGGCTACTTTAGTCCCCTTATTCTCAAGGCTGAAGACAGAGGTAGATACTGATAAACCTTTTCAGCTGCCACAGCAACCAGAGCTTATTTGCCTTACCGTAAGCATGTCTAAATGGTACTGTACGGTAAAGTGGGAGTCAGAGACTTTGAGAAGCTATCAGCCTGGTTGCCCAGTGGTCAGCTGTTTATAAATTTTCTGTTTCTATAAGCAGAGATGTACAATCAAAAAATCAAATTCAGGAGGCAAATACCCTATGGAGTTTCAGCTGGAAATGTGAGTTTTGATGAAGTAATGCTTACCAGGTCAAGGTCTGCACGAGCAGTGAAGACTTCTAAATGACTACGTCTGACCCGTCTCTCACCAACGATTATGATAATTTTCATATTCACAGTGATGCCTCAAAAAACTATTGTACTCTGGTCTGAAGCCCTGCATTCACTCTGGATGTAAGCTTAGGGATTCGTAAAGGATTGTCCAAAAAAATTGCAAAACCACTGAGTTTTTAAACAGTGAGAGTGACTAACACACATTCTTACTCTGAAGTTAAAGATACTGATCTCAGCAGCCTAAGTTATTACAGAGCTGTAGCCTGCTATCAACTCACCTACGTCAGGCTGTGGATCGGAACACGTACGTAACAGTTGCCTTGTTACTTAACCTGTGAGAAGAAAAAGAGTCACCTTGCATGCAAAATTAAAACTGAACTGCATTTTTAAGATTAATGCCCTTAATTGTCAAAGAACTGAAACATCGGTGAGGATCCGATCTGTGAAATACTTTCTCTTTGATTGCAACAGACAGCATTAACTATTTTTTTCTCTTTGGTAGAGTATCTGTCCACCTGCAATGTTCAGATTTCTCGTCCCACCACTGCAGTGAGTGTTTCAGCCTCAGCAAGATATGCAGAGAAAACTGACAATACAGAAGTCAGATAAATTGACTGGAAAAGTTTACTGAGTGAGCAGCTCCTCAAACTAAATTAGAGGAAATTCAGTGAGAGCCACTAAAGCACAGTAATTCTGGTTAAGATAAAAGGAATAAATATCAGTTCAAACACATACCAGTGGTCTGTGTATACCAGACTTGCAGTCAGAGAACAACTATTAAATGCATCTGCAAAAGATAACTAAGAAAAGTAAGAAAATTGTCACTGAGTTTAAATTCATTATAGTGTTTGCCCTCCTGTTTTTAACATATAACTCCCACCCCTTCATGTGGTCTATAGATTTCCTTGAAAAAATAGGGCATCTGAGAATTAAACACTGAAATACTGTGCCTTACTTGCCATTGTAGATCTAGTCTTTTACCTGAATTTAATTAATTCCAGCTCCATTTATGTACCACAGATGAGTGCCAGAGACAGCTGAGCAATACCACAATAAATGCTTAATAGAACCAAGACTCTACTGAGCCAGCAATTACCAAACTGTTTATATCAAAAAATGGAATATCATGGGAACATCTAGTACTTTCTTGCATGAGCTGCTGGAAAGAATACAGGAAAAAATAATTACAGTATCACCTAAAATCAAGACAGGCTGAGTTGTAAAATACACTGTTTATCTGTTATGTGTCATCAGTTTGGATCAAAACCCATCACCTGTTTCAGACCCAACAAAAATTTTTAAATTGCCTTTTAAAGAGTATGATTTTGCATCATGCTGTGTAGGCAAAGAGTCCACCTCACAGATTTGTAGCAAACCAAATTAGTTTGCTTCCCAAGCATGCTTAATATGATTCACTAATGATTAACCAGGAGGAGAGAGTCAGAGTGTAAAGCTAGATCCGTAAGAGTTATGAGCACATTGTAATGAATCTTTGTTTTATTGCCTTATCAAGTGCTCTTGAGCAGTTAAACATGAACACTCAAAGGGACATTCATAAAGCATTTAGCTAATGCTGATAAACTGAAAAAACGTGGAGAGCACCCCACGACTGATTTCTACCTACTGCAGAAGGAAAAAAATACTGCACTGTTAAGCTGCTCTTCATCAGTAAATAACTTAATTTCACTATAAAACTATAGAAAGCCCATTACAAACAACAGCAAAATCTACTATTACAAACTACTGCAAAATCTAGAGAATTTAGAAACTGAGATTTTTGCATTGGTCCCTTAACTATTTTTTAAATAATAAAATCTTACTTCACGGGCCTTTTTTAGGGAATGTTTATCCAATTTCTGTACAAGGACCCTTAAGAACAGAAGTTACAGCAGATTAATTTTCCATGGCAACAATGAACATGACTAAGCATAAGGTACGAGACAGTGCACAGGTGTATACACAGTGATAAAAGTATACAGGAAATTATGTTCCCCTTTCAGATTGTCTGATTCTAGATACCTCTAATATAGGAAACAGAGCAATAGATAGGAAGAAGTGCATGGACAGGGTTCCTTAAATAGCACTTGTTACTATGCGGGCCTGAGACCATAAAGAGCAGGTAGATCTCTGCTGTGGGTTTTTTCAAAATGTAGTATGGCCACTCGCACTCCTAGTACAAACACTTCACTGGTACAGTGATATATGGCCAGTGTGTATGGTGTCCATTAACACAGCACTTCATGCTCTTTGCTCTAAGGGTTTGGGGAGAGAACGAAGAAAAGTCTGACATGCACAACTGTTGTAATCCCGCATGGTTCAGCGTACAGGAACCCCCCTACAACACTAGCAGCTGAGTGCTGACAGCTGGAGGGCACTTGAGATGTTAGTGTTTATAGCATTTTCTTCAACAAATTGAAAATAACTGCAGAAGAATTTATTTGGAATGGTATCTGAATGGCCTTCTGACCTCCTACCTAGCAGTTCCCTCAGTAAGTTGGACAGACTGCAAATGTGACGTTGGCCACAATTTCAAAAGCAACTGTTTTGACAGCAAAACATCAGGAGGAGCTGCCTCCTCATACACAGGCATTCCAGCCCCTGCTCTGGCCCCCTCCTCACTCTGTTGTGTTGGTATGATTGGCTGTGTGGTGGTGCAATAAACTGATCAGGTTAAAAATTACCATCGCTTTTTCTTCCCTGAGTTCCTTTTAAGAGAGATGAGGTCTCTGATCTTGTTTGTGGGGTGGTTGCGCAGAGAGGTGAGCTAACACAGCTAAGGGGACAATGAGCCAAAGGAAAAAGACAGTCGTCTGCCCCGGAAGCAGGGGCTGTAAGTACTTCTGGTGGCACTGCCACCGTAGCAATCTGTGAGACTGCCTCCTTGTTTTATGCAGCATGTCAGTTAAAACAGCCAACAGTAGATGTGGACCTCAGGTGGAAGGGGGCCAGCTGGACAAATGGCCTCCCCAATTCGAAACTACTTTTAAAACTAGTTTAGTTTGTTGACTAAATGATTTTATATGTACTTTTGTCTTAATATTGTTATGCTGGGGGGAAATAGAGACTGTGTTATTTAAAAATATGTGATATGTTATCATAGTAATATATATATTTATATATGTATAGGAAATGCATTATTTAATACAGCATATTATGCTTGTATCTTGCTAACATTTTATAGGAAGAAAAGATGTTAGTTTACACTCTGGGAAAAATAAATTTTCTATACACTGTAACCATAGAAAAAAGCAAAGATAATTCATTGGTATATATGGTAGAGGAACACCGAGAAGAGAGTAATGCAGATGCAGTGTTGTGGCAGAACAGATGCTCAAGAAACAACTGCTTTAAGACGCACTTTCCTCATTTGAATTTCATTTCCAGCTTGCAATTGTATTAGGCTGTTCATCAGAATTTGCAAATTCATGTGCATATACTCTCAGGACCATTTTACCATCAAACACGTAATCTGCTTTTTCAATCAAGCATTAACATTGTCTTTTTAGGGCTTGTTTCTGCCAGATTTTCTACAGCCAGTACAACGTTGAGGAGGTCTAGTACACTGCTCATGCAGACAACCCAGTGGCATTACAGAATTAGTCTCGGTATTCCAAGCTCCCCTGGCAGGAGTATAAATGGGAGATTTTTTACTGATAGCCCTGGAAACTGTACTGAATCTGCAGCCTGTATGACCACAGGCCAAACACATTAGCAGACACTTGGCTGTCACTGAATGAGCATGACTAGCTATTCCAGTTTCATCTTCTGTTTAATAAGCCTTCTCAGGCAGTGGGAAGGACTGCCAACAGATTTTTTTTTCTACTGCACCACTTTGCCTAAAGGAAGGGTGAACTACAAAAACAACTCCTGACAAATACTTGTCCAACTAGTTCTTAGTACCTTGCAGCAACGGTATTTCGCAATCTTTCAATGAAATATAATCCAGTGGTAGTTTCACCTGAATATTATTCTAGACGTTTAGGAACCTTAACATTCTGCTGCCTCGAGATCTTGAGATTGAAAAATATAACTGCCTTCAGTCCATACAATTTTTTCTATAACAACATACCCCCCAACACACATACATTTCATGCAACTCATAGTTTCTCAACTTTGCTGAGCACCTGTGCTTTGGGATGAAATTTGGCATTCTGACTTTCAGTCTCAAGAAAACCTACTGTAAATCCAAAGGCTGTCCCATGAACCAAATACGCCTGACAAGAAACCGGAGTAAATCAAACCTGAAATGCCTCACTGCTGTGTTTATACATGGTCATTCTGCATTCAGCAAATGGTTGTAAGTAGTAATTAAGTAAATACAGTGAATTTTTGCATGAGGAGTTCAGCTAGCATTGCTAAAGTATAGACAAGCATCGAATAAAGGAGTCAGAAACTGCTGCAGTGCACCAGCAGATTGCAGCAGGCTTGTGTGCCATGGAGGTTAGAAGAGAATATTTGAGCTGAAAATGCTGAGAATGATTACATATGGAAAATAAGTTATCGCTCTAAAAAGCAGTTTCTGAGGTAACAGCAAATCGAAGTTTTCAGTTTACGTATCTTCAAACTCTTAGAAGTAACTATAACAATCCTTTCAGTGATTTCTTTACAAATTGCAGCAACATTTAATGCCGTTTCCACTTTCTTGCGATATTCATCTTTTCTTCATGGATTCTTCCTTCTGACCAAAATAATGCTACACTCACCCGAAGACATCCTCAGCTACATTTTATGTAAATGTCTGAATACCAGTGTCAGGTATCAAAACTGTTTCCAGCTTTTCATGTCAGAACTCAAACCCTCATTTACTTTTAGAAATGCTACTGTCACAGGGGATTGGCCTCCCCTTTCAAGGGAGATCGCTCTGTTCTTTCTTGCCATTCAGGTTATGAGACTCCTCTTACACTTCTCTTTATTCTGGGAACTGTTGCCTTTTTTCCTTGTTTCCTAAGCAACAGTTTCAACCCCCATGAGGGAAATCGTATTCTTTATTCTGAAAAAGGCACTTTTCTATGAAGCATTTAAGTCACAGGAGCACAACGCTTCCACTGCAAGATAAAATATCTGGTTTCAGGTATGCTGTTTTCCCCTTGGCCAAAGACGTAGGTCAGTCTGGCTCCACAGAGTATGAACACAGCCACCCTTTTAAGGACACTTTCTTCTTCACACTACCCAAGTAATAACCAGTGTTACCTAGCAGCTGTCATAGGATTTAACAGATGCACCCAATATTGCTAAAGCAAAAATGAGATAGTGTTACAGAAACACCAAGTGTTACCATAATGTACACTCTCATTAAGAATAGTCTGCTCCTGCTCTTCTTGCTTTACCATTTGAAAGTTCCTTGGAAGTTTATGGTGCTCACAGGACTCTCATTTTGTCACAGATTTGCTCCTTAAATATTGAACCTCAACAGTGAAAAGAACCTCGCCCCGCCAAATATAAAAATATTAATTTTTGATAGAAAATGTTTACATTTAGTCATTAAAAAAAAGGCCACAACAAAGAAGAGGCAGAATAGCATGCACGCGTGCGCGCGCACACACACACACAACAAAGTACCACATTCAAGTTTGGCCAACAATCCACGATTGTCTTTCTCAAAGAGCCAGAGTATGGGCTCACTGAGCATTTTGTGGGACAGGAAGGGTAAAGGTACGTCTTGTTCTTAAAAGCACAATCACCTCACGGTTTTCATCAGAACAAGAAATGAGAAAACAAAACCCTATTCAGCAACGGCAAACTATGAAGGAGACTCAGACGTGACCCATCAACATTAGGCATATCAGCCAAACGCATCTGGCAAGTTTTATGCTATTTTTAAGAACAATTGTTTAATGAACTAGTTTGTGAATAAAATGCATATCTATAATGATTGGCAATTACCAGGATTCTGTTCTCCAAGCAAAAAAAGGGCACGTACTGTGATTGGGAAGCACTTGCTGGTGCTGCTTAACTCCTTCCTGCCTGTTGCTATTCCATTATTGTGCCTGTCTTCTCACACTGACCAGGCTTGCCCATAGTACTTGAGATGAGGATGAAACTGATCCTCATGCTAGAAGGAGTCCAATGCAAAACGATACTCTTCAGTTCAACAGTCTGTCATCCCAAATGTGGAGCTTTCACATATGAAACAGGGGGTTGGAAAGAAGTGAGGTTCATTTCTCCTCTGAATTCTGAAGTGACTGAATTACAGTGTGCTTGTAAGTCCAAGGGATTACTGGTGAAAAATCTTTGGAAGAAGGAAGAAACTGGAGCAGACTGGAAAGGATTTTTTTGTGCATGCGTGTGTGTCACTGGATGGAAAATAAATAACGTATGGAGGCAAACTGTTTACATCATAACATATAAACAGGTATTACATAAATACATACGTGTACACACAGACACACTCAGGTTGCTCTTCACGCATCTCCAAGCCCTTCTCTCTCGTTGCCTGCATAAACATCTTTGCTCAAATTATGCCCTCTGCCGACGAAAGGGAGTGGCACAGCACTGATTTTTCACTTCGTGAGACCAGTGATTTCATGAGCCAGGGTAAGGACTTGGTTCTTGCTTGACTATTCAAGCTGTGATTTATGCAGTGGTGCTCACCTGGCTGTCTCGGGTCTCAAAAGAGTCTTCTTTCAGGACAAAAAATTATCTTTACCTGAAATTAAACCAGACTCAAGTTCCCCTGCTACAAAGAACAGGCAGGTTCCAAACATAAATGAGGATGCCTTTCAGCAGATGTTTCACTCCTCAGGTGCCTGGAGGCTTCAGGGGCTTCTAAGACCTGTTCCCCCCCCCCCCCCATATAAAAGCCCACGCGCTGTCCTGTTAGTCAGGGACTGACACACTGCAGTCTCAGCTTCACTCCATTTCCTTCCCTGTTTTCCCTGGCAGAGCTCTTCATCCCATCTCTTCCACAGCATACTCTGGGGCACTACTTTCCTAACCCTTCGCTTCTCCTACATCTTTGCCTTCCTTCCTACATAATCTTTGTTTTCTTGCAATGAATATATCAAGCTTCCCCCCTCCTCAGCAGCAACACGAGCCAGCTGTGACCAGGAGCCCTCACGTAACACGGACACTGGGTGAGACTTCCTGGGGACAGTATTTGGAAGACAGGTAAAACTGTCAAATACTGGACTTACACTACACACAATACCAGGTAAAAAATACTAATTTCTGTTGGATATTCAAGTGTGGCGCTTGCTAAAGTTGAATGGTCCTGAGATAGGATATTATGGGTTGCTTCCAAAAAGAAACATTTCTGAACTTGTTATCATGATCATTTTTGTTAGGGTATATATGTGTGTGTATGTATACACATATCCATCTATCATTTTAAAAAAGGAAAAAAAAATAGCAGTATATCTAGGACTATATTTTGAGAAGCACAGATCTGTGCCCTTTCCCCCACAACACGAAGGACAATCTCCACACGTATATGCAATAAAACTGTATTTTTGTGTGGTTTTGTCTTTTTTTTTTTAATACAGACATTTGTACACTTTCTTACAAAACTGCAGGTAACTACAACTTTTCTTAAATCATTTTTGGTCGGCAAGTACTGTAAAATCTTTGTGTGCAATTATCATATATTTACAGGGCCTCATGTTAGTGATTTTCAATGATTATTACAATAACGTCACACACTCTCAACATAAGACATGGCTTAAGATAAATATATTAGTAAAT